TCAGGGATCAGCAAGCAGAGGAATGCACGGAATTCCAAGGGAGGGAGGGAGGGAGGGAGAGGCTGGGCTGACCAGGAAAACGTTGAGGGACAGCAACTGAGCCTTCAAACCCCTTTCCTCTTGGGGAAAAGCTTTATTGGCTTTTTTCCAACAAGCATCAATGATCTGGTGCTTTAATACCCACAAAAAATGATCAGTGTGGTCCTTCTGGTCAGGAGAGCATTTCCAAGAACTGAAGACCTTAAGCATTAGCAGGTTTTGGCTAAGCACTGGGCTCTGTTTGATAACTGCTTCTGTCAGGCTGTCCGTCCGAGTGGGGTCCCATTAGGTGGGCCCTGGGGGGCGGGGATGCCTGGGGGATCTCCACAAAGTGTGCCATTTCATGAGGAGAAAATCCAGGACAGGTTTGGTGCACAACCTTGGGAGTCCCTGATAGGCCCATTGCCTCCTGTCCTGATGTTGAGCACCACAGTCGGATTTTAAGAGGGGGCTTGTCTGCCCCTTTGTTATTTCATCCCTTGTCAGACCAAGTAAAGAAACCCAAGCAGGAAATGGAGGCCGGCACCTGCTGGATTGCCATTTCGAATGGAAGAATGGCAGGGGCCCATTCTGCAAACCGTTCTAAGGAGCAGGTTTTACTCCCAGCCTTAACTCTCCTCATCGCAAATGGCCAGAACAGGTGAAAAGCACCAGCCATTTAGTGCCAGCAAAAGGGCTCATCAAGAGCAGCAGAGAGGGCGTGGCACAGAATTGGGCTTCCAAGGCTCTATAGTCAGTCAAACAGCTGCTTGCTCCAGGGCTGGAAGAGCGGGGTGGGTGGGGGGCACGTTAAGTCAAGGCTTCCCTTGGAGGGCAGCGAAGGAAGGCTGCATCCAGGCAGCTCAGCCCCGCTCTTCAGGGTGGGCCCCGTCATCAGCAGCATGGCGGCCGATGGGTCCCGGTCTCGGCCAGGGGGTACATCTCAGAAAGGGAGAGAGGGGCTTCCAGTTAGGAATGCTTCCGATTCCCGTGAGAAGACACGGGGGTCTTGGCCCACGGAGGTTGGATGTTCCGCCTCTGCCATTCAATCTAGGTGGGAATTGGGGGGGGGAGCAATATGGGGAGTGAAAGTTGCAATGGGATGCCCACTTGCCACCCTGCAAATGATCTGGGTTGCCCAGCTAGAGAATTGAGTAGCTGCATCAGGGTCCATTGAGAGACCCCACCTAGAAGCTTCTGCCCACCCAGAAAAAAACACAGACCACAACCAACAACAAAATCCTGTGCACAGCCTGGGGGGGGGGAGAGGGGTCCCCAGGGTCCCCAGTGCAGATGCAGGTGGGGCACAGCCCTGCGCTTCTTGGCAAAGGAAAGGACTCGTGATCCAGACTTTCCTGGGTTTCTCTGCGTTCTTCTTCGCCTCCTTGGCCGAGGAGCTGCGGGGCGTCTGTCGCCGGATCTCCTGTGACCGCCACCTGCCCAGCCTGGCTCCAAAGTAGCGCTCCTTTGTGAGGAAGGTCTCCCAAGGAGAGGGGCTTCCGGCAGGGCCAGGGGCAGCCACAGACTTCGGCCTGTGGGTCTCTTGGCGCAGCTGCCACCGGCTCAGACTTCCGATTTCACCGGTAGCTCTCAAATCACCCAGCCTCACGTATTGCACAAATGCCGGCTATTTTAGAGAGTGACCCAGGAGCTGGAAGCAAAGCATAAAAAGGGGGAGAGTGAAATACCGTCGCCCCCCCCCCTTGAGATTCGAAAGGCTACCAGAAGACCAACCAACCCCCGTAACAAGAATCTGTGGAAAGAAGACACGGGTTGTTGTAGTGCCGGTGCTCCACCACCACCCGGGGCAAAAGGTTCAGCAGCCGGAACAGAAAATATTTCAGGCAGAAAAGGGGTGGGGTGGGGGAATCCCCACACAACATGTTGAAGACACGGTGAATATCCAGCACATAATTTCCCTCTCGGATAGCAGGAGCCACGGCAGAAAAGAATTGAATTGAACCGGAGTTATAGGGTGGTGGTAGTGGTGGTAAATCAGGTCAAGGATCACCTTCGAGACCGCCTGCTGCCACATACCTCCCAGCGGACAGTAAGATCCCACAGATTGGGCCTCCTTCAGATGCCGTCAGCCGGACAGTGTCGGCTGGCGGGCCCCCGGAGGAGAGCCTTCTCGGTGGCTGCTCCGACTCTCTGGAACCAGCTCTCCCCGGGAGATCCGGACCTTACCCACCCTCATGGCCTTCAGGAAAGCTGTAAAAACCTGGCTGTTCCGGCAGGCCTGGGGCTGGTGACAACCCTGTTGAGGTCCAGACCCGACTAGAATGAATGTCTGAGGGTGTTTGTTGTTTTTAAATTGTTTTCTTTTATCCTTATGTTTTTTTTTTTAAATGTTTTTTGTAAGCCGCCCGGAGTCCTTCGGGATTGGGCGGCATATAAATATATTAAATAAATAAATAAAATAAATAAAATGGAATTAGCTGAGAACTTAGTGAAATGCCAGGACGGAGGTGGCCCTTGTGAGGGGCCCGGTGCAAGAGAACCTGGCTCTGAAGGGCACTGTCTGGAAAACGGCTTCAGCAGCTGGGAAAGTTTGTTGGCACGGAGTGAACCCACCGGGCGAGGGATGGGGGCTTTCTGCAGAAGTGAGGGGTGACCTACATCCAGGCTCTGAGATTGATCCATTAGGGGGGGCTGCTGCAGCTACACACAGCACCAGCAGCAGCAGCAGCAGGACAGATGTCCTTGGGAAGTGGATCCAGCACCACCAGGAGATGCATTTTTGTCTTAGGCTGGGTCCATCCAATGGAAGCCTTGCCTTGTTTGCACATCCCCGGTTTTCGTGGCAATGCCTGGCAAAATGCTTTTTGAAATGAACTGCGGGCGGCGATGGCGCTTGGCAGCCTGGAATTTTGTTGTCTGGGTGCCCTGGATAGTAGGGGGGCTGCAGGCTTCGGCTGAACCCTGGCAAGGCTGAGTGGCTCCGGGAATTTGGGCCCTCTGGCCCTGGGACACTTTTGGTGGTGCTCATAATGCCTTTCAGGTATTCATCCCCACGGATGGGGGGGACAGGTGTGTTCCCCCGAGGAACATGCAGTCTTGGTAACGCATGGTAAGTGGGAAGCAGGGTCCCTGGTGCAATCTGCTTCAGACTGCGGAGGCTCTTTGTGGTAGGGGGAAAGACATCTGCTCAGAGGCCAGGGGTGCAGAGCCTCTTCCCGTTGGCTGGAACCGGAACGGGGGACCCATGGGGCTCTGATCCTGGGTGTGGAGGCCTTCTGGGATCACGGTGGGGCCCGTCCTGTTCGATTCCGGCTCTGGATTGCCAGGCCAGCGTGATGCCTCTCCTCTGCCTGGAAGGTTATAGCAATAGCAATAGCAATAGCAATAGCAATAGCAA